TGATTATCTTGTTTGCGCATTGATTGATAATTACTCAAAAACATGAGACTAAAGCCCCCCTCCCCCCCCCCCCCCTACGCCGATATGATTTGTGCTACAATACCCAAATAAGTAAAACCTGACGTAAACACTGTTTAATAATTTATTTTTAACATGCCAGTAAGTATGGTATCAAAGGAGCCAGAGGCAAACTGGTGAAGGGGGGGGGGGGGGGGGAGTAGATCTGTAGAAAGGAAAACAGGTTATTAAATACAGGAGTAAGCACCCCAATCCCTTCCTTCTGTTCTTAAAACTTTGAACGTAGTCTAGAATCCATAAACAGTTGAAGGTTTGATAATTAAAATAATCACATATGAAAAAAAAAAAAAAAACTACTAAGTTCTGTTGGAGATATTTTTTCTGTGTGTCTACTGAGGAAGAATAAATGTTTAATCATTGATAGGGGCTGTCTATTTTTTATTTTTATTACAAATGACTGATTCTTTCAATATTTTTAACCATGGGCATTTTCCAATTTATTTGCATGATGGATGTTGCGGAAAATTTTAGGCGAACGGAGGAAATGCGGTAGGTGTCAAATACGTCTTGTGTAGCGTATAAAAGAACGAAGATATACAAAACAAAATAAAGTCAAAGATTTTTTTATGCATACCGTTTTGATTTAGTGAAATAAAGCCCAGCGCAGTCCGTAGGTATTTGTTTAAAATTTGCGAGGTACACAAACTCTACTAAGTACCACAGAGTTATCTCCCATGCTGGGTCAATGATGCGTTTGAAAACTATATTTAGAATGAATGTGTTAAGATTTCAATTTTTAATCAAAAAGTGCAAGGGCAAGGCGACAACCCAAGAGGTAGGTTTTTATTTTAAATTCTTTATTTTACTGTATAGTTTTTAAAAAGTGATGCTCATTTCTTTGTAATTCATTAGGCAATTTAAAATTTCCGATTAAATGATGAAAAATACCCTATTTTTGAATACTGGTGTTTGTTTTCAATGGATAACTTAAATATCTCAGAAATCTGACTGAATGAGCATCAGTTTTTCGATAGGATAGATACCAAGGGACACAATGAAACCTTGTGCAGTTCAAATATTGTTTGCCTTGCCCTTGCACTTTTTGGTTAAATTTGACATTTCATATTTTGACCTAAAATCGGAGCTCACGTGACTTTAGAGGGTCACATGATGACAAAAAATACCGATGTGAAAAGCGATGGATAAACTTTTCATAAAGCCATTAAGATATTTCAGATAGAGTTTCATGCTAAAAAATAAGACGGTTGAACTTTAAGTGTCTCGTTTTTGGTGCCTTTTTATAGAAAATGTTGCCTTAACTGTACTGCGTATATTGAACAAAAGTTGTGCAGAATGGCAAGCTCTCTCATTTGATATCAACAATTAGGGGCTGACCCCTAAAATAACGGATCTACGGAGGCTGAAAGTGTTTTCTCAATATCTCCAAAACTATTGAGAATTTGTGATACATCAAAGATGCAAATTGTTCAAAATGACAAGTAGAAGTGAATAAGATTGTCGAAAGCCGTCAAATAACGTCACTTCCGGCCAAAATGGAAGTAGTCAGAAATGCATATTTTTGCCGTTTTCGACATGTTATTAGTTAATTTATGTAACCAGAAGCGTCCAACCAAATTTATCATCCCTCAACATCACTTCCGGTCAAACCGAAAGTAGCCAGAATAGCTTATTTTGCAGGTTTTGATGCAAAATTGTAATTTTAAAGTCAGTGGAGACGTCTAAACTCATTCATTTCTCTTGTTGACGTCACTTCCGGTCAAAACAGGACGGAAGACCTACTCGTTGCTTTGCAAAGAGCTTTGCTCTAGTTAAGGTCTTCCGTCTTCAGCGGAAGACCTTTTTGTTATTCTTCGGTTTCTTTTCCACTGTTTTTCTTATTATTTTTTTTCTTACCGATTTTGTGCACGCAATTTCTCGAAAACGGTTCGCTCGATTTTTATGAAACTTTCAGGGCTGATAGAACATTAAAAAATCGTGATACATATTTTTTTTTATTTTGATGACGTCACTTCCGGTCCGAAGATTTTTGCGATTTAGTGATTTTTGGAGGGTCAGTTTGTCCGCAGGTTTTCTAAGAAAGCACTAATCATAGGAACGTGAAACTTTTAGGGAAGACAGAGCAATATATGTAGATCTGTAATACGTAGTTAACTTTCACCGGAAGTGCCACACGTCCACGCTCGCTATGGCCTGAAAAAAGTCGTATCGAAAGTTTCAAAATTTCGAACACTTTCTGTACGATATCTTTTTACTTAGAAATATTTTGTTAAAACATATATAACAAAATTTGTGCAGAGTTATAAGATCTTTTAAATGATATCTCGAAAAAAGGGCTGGCCCCTAAAATAAGGAATCTAAAGGGGTCAAAATATTTTTCCTGATATCTCAAAAAGTATTTAGAATTTGTAATACTTCAAAGAAGCAAAGTTGTTCAACATGACAAGTAGCAGCTTGCGAGATCATCAAAATGCGTCGACCAAACAGAAAGTAGTAGAAAAATAGCTTATTTTCACAGATATTGGTACAGTGCTGCTATCCCACAAGTTGACATGGGATGGGATTGGATAGGATTCAGGATTGAGGATTCACGATAGAAAGATATAGTAGTTAATCCAACCCTATCCTATCCTATCCTGTATCCTACAGCCTTCAGATTGGAGTAAATGTTAATTCATATTTCAAAATAAATTACAGAAACGCAAAAGGACATAGAACGTTTACAAAAGAAATATTTATAAAATCACAAAAGAAAATAAACATTTTTTTTTTTCTTAACACATATTTATTCAATTACCTTCGAGTAATATGGCGTACGATCTAACCGTGAACGATCACCGGAAGAAGTTTCGCATGTAAACAAAGCAGAGATCGGACTTCAAAAGATTGTATTTCTTCAGCATGTTTGGATGATTAACTCGATTCCTACCCGTGTTACAGTTCAATAACATGTTTCTCTGTTAAATGTGCTCTGTTTGTCTGGATAATTCCACTTGAACCGTCAGCGGCGGACTATAACAGATCATAATCGCAGTTGTTTGGTGCAAGACCATGTAAGTATACTACACACTGTAAATGTGTGCATGTTTATACATATCTCTCCCTTTAGGCAATGTTTTAATGACTTGAACTATTAAAATTTTATTCTATTGTAATATAAACAGAAATCGGATGCGGAAAAAATAGGTTGTGTAGAAAGGGGACGGGTAGGGGGGTTAAATACTTTGTCACATGATCAGATGTATTACACCTTTTTTCAGTTTGTTATTGCTATAAAATCATTTCCCTACTGTGGTTAAAAAATATTTTTTCTTATCTGATTGCAATTTAAAATAATTAAATGCAGAATCATCATGATCATTTCTTATGCTACTGTCAGGTCTGGTACAATCACTAGATTTAGCTATGTAGCTTGAATTACCTACATAGCTTTATTTACCTACCTGAAGTACATGTAGCCTTATTTAGCTACTAAATCAAACTTATTTCTTAAATAAGAATTTTTCCCAAAAAGTGCAGAAAATTGCACTTTGATGCAGTGATAATTTTCAACTTTGAACTCATCTGAAAACAATTCCTGAAAAAATCACTCTTGGAGATGTGTCTTTTTTTGCACAATTGCAATCAAAGTTCTAAAAGTTTTGGGGCTATATACAACAGTTAATTTGTGACCTAACAGTTACTTCTTGAATGTAATAACAAAGAAAACCAGTTTTGGTTAACATGAGCACAATGTGAAGTAATCATACTTATCCAGCCTCATCGCGCACAAGGAGTGTACAGTTACTCAAACAATGGGAATACATATTTTCCTTAAAAGTGATAAAACGCAGCAATGTTAAAACTATCTCTGCTTTAGATTGCTTTTTAAATGATACCTAGAATAAATATTAGTTGATATTTTCTTGCGACTTTTTGTCTTTTTAAAATAAAAAGCAAAATTGTGAAAAGTTGCCTTGAAATAGCTAAATAAAGCTACCTGAGGTAGGTAAATAAAGCTACGGTAGGTAATTTTAGCGGGTAACCCGAATTACCGAAATGCCCCTGATTTACCGAAATGCCCCTGGAAATTACCGAAATGCCCCTTAAAACTACCGAAATGCCCCTTTAATTATATCGAAATAGGCATTTTATGATAATTTATGATAAATTTTATTAATAAAACTTTGTATTTTGAACACAAATGTAAAAAATTGTGTTTAATTCGCTCGATTATCGTGACATCTAAGAACGATAACTCTTGCAACATTGTCTCAGCGGGAAGCACGTTACATGCATCGTCCGTTGTTGTAATTTTATTATTTTATGATTTAATGATCCCTCTTTTTTTTTTTATTATTATTTTGATGACAAAAATTTTTTATACCGTATGTCTTGTTAAATATTTTTTTTAAAAAGGAAGAAGAAGAAGAAAACATGACAGAAGTACAAGTAAGTATACTGTTTTTATTTACATCTCATATAAGTATAATATAACATATAAGGTTTAAAAAAAGAGTTTTAAAAGGGACTTCTGGGTAATCAAAAGCTAAATATAAATCAAATGCAGTACACAAGGTCAGCCATCGTATACAGGGAATGGTAAACTTAATTGCTGAACAAAGTCTCGAGTAAGCGAAGGAAGAAGACGAATTATAACGGAAATCTGTTTTTATTTTTAATTTTATTCAGTTTTGTAATGAAAAGTTTTGTAATCGAAATTATAATAATAATTTAATCCAATGATCAAACTTGAAATAATAATTATTCAACCCAAAGACGAAACTTGAAATAATAATAAATAAACCCAAAGATGAATAGTGAAAAAAAAATCATTCTTGAAATGATAAATAATTAAACCCAAAATTGAATAATGAATCGATAAAAAATAATTTTTAAAAAAGGAAAAATCCTGAAAGGAAGACATGGTTAATGAAACAAATCCTCAACTTAAAAATCGTTTTTAAAAAAGGAATAATCCAGAAAGGAAGACATGGTTAATGAAATAAATCCCCAACTTAGGAAAACACTAATTGTCAACTGGTTCAAGAAAACTAATTGTCATTTATACAAATATTGTGAAAATAAACTTTCTGTGCATATACGATCTTTCGAATTAAGGAGGACCTGAAATGCAAGAATTTACACATTAATTACATGATTAAACGATTAAACTAATATTATATACAACATTTGTCTGATATCTAATATTATATACAACAACTGTTATGTACATGTACATCCCCATGCATCAAGCAATGTCGCGACAAGGCGACATAGGGACCCGAATGTTCCAGGAAGAGGATTACTAATCTGAAGGATAAATTGTCAGGAAATATAATCAAATTTAGATGGTCGAATCCTACCCCAAAAGGGGGCATCTCGACAATGAGATACGGCGTACGCACCATCCATTTAATTTAATTACATTTTCCCTTTTTTTATAGTGGTAGTCCTCTCATTGATTTTTCTCTTCCTCTGTCCTAATTTCTTCCCTAGCGACTTGGGTTTAACAATCGTCATCTTCCCGTCTGTCGAAGTAACCGTCGTCTTTTCCGTTGCTTTGAAATTTCGAAATTTCTTATAATGTCTGTTCCGTTCATCTGTTGTTTTAGACACCCACACAGACTTTGAAACCTCAAAATGTCTGTGGGTGTCCGCTAGTCTGTACTGTCCCGTCCCTACTAAAGCCTTTTTTAGATCCTTAAATTGGGTGTCTATGAGACCTGTCAGGGTTATAGTCAAATCCAAAAGAGGTTGTGATTTCCAGTTGATTGCTTGTTTCAAAATATGATTTAAAGATTCTGAATTGTTGTTAGTCCATGGACTATCAACAAATCCAGATGCCATCGGCTTGTTCACTTTTTCTTTCAGATTAGATTTCAGTTTGTTTTGGAAATATTTTAAAAATTTCCCCGACAGCTCTCGCGAGACATCTTCAATATGCTCACATTTTGCCTCGAAACAAATGGTATCATCTGCTGTAATTAGTCCGTCATCCCCGTAAATTAAGTCCAAGATTTCTCGTCTGTCCGATTTGTCAACGCAATCATCGACAAGCTTTTGTTTCGTGTTTTGGTAAAGATGTCTTTTACATAACATGTGTTGTGAATTTGGGAATGCTGTCGTAATAGCATTGACAAGAGCTTTTTCTTCGTCCGAACCAAAAACAAGTTTAGTTGTGTCACTGTCGGATAATTTTGTCCTCATATGGTTAAAAAAATTGCTGTAAGTTTCAAAGTCGCTGTTGTCATGAATGTAAAGGGGACCTAAAAAAATTGGAGGTTCCCCAGTACTTTCCATTACAACACTACTTTGTCTGTAGCAGGTCGCTGTCACATGCATGTCGCAAAGGTTGAATGTCTTGTCAATGCCTAAAGGTGATTGTCCCGTGCAGCACAAGTTTTTAATGTCTGTCATTTGGTCTTCGTTATACAGAATAAGGCACGGTGCCTTCCCCTGATCCCTGATGATCGACTGAACAATCGAACCACCCTTCGCGACCAATTTATCAATTTCGGATACGTGATCCGCGATATTACCCCTACGTAAGAAATGTCCTTGATCGCTACGTACTTTCTTTTTGTCATTACGATTTTTGTCATAGATCTGTTTTTTACTAGTTGGTCCTTGTAGTTCGTCATATTTTGCTGTCAGTACATTGTACACGTCCCCAGGTCTTTTACTACTCAAGAGGTTAGACATTTCCTGCATTACAGTGGCAGGCGTTCGCATGTACTCGGTTTTTTGTTTAGAATTTCCGTGTGAGGCAAGTCCCGGAAAATGGCCTAAATATTCCACGAGCGCGATTTGTTCCTCATTGTCACTTGCCAGCCACGAAACACGTTTTTTGTATGAAGAATCTTGCTTAAGGGTTGTGTAATGACGATATAACTCGACCACTGAGTTTTCTGGTTGGGGCTCAAGGGGAACATACACGCGCTTCCCTTTTTCCTTTTTCTGTGTACAATACGCCCCATTCTTTAAAAATACATTTTTTAGATCACCACTTTCCGTTCGTATAAAACACGTCTTTGGAGTGCTGCCTGAGGAGGAGTTCCAAACTCCACAGTCATCGGAAAAGGAACTTCTTTGGCCTTTTGTCCGTTTGCCAAGATTGTGCGAGTTTTGTACTACAAAATATACATCATTTTTTAATCCAGTCGGAATTGACGCGTGCGATTCAGTAAAGGAAAACGATTGTAACAAAGTCACTAGGTCATTGACGTCTAGGAATGCTCTATCAAGACAACCGTTTGCTAAGTCATGTACAGATTCATTCGCAATAAACGGTGCATGAATAGTTTCACTCGCCCCAGACTCGCTATTTATGTCCATTTCACAAGATTCTTGAACCACAGAAATGTTGTTGTCAGATTCACTCACAGTCTCACTTAAAATGTCACATTTACTCTGATTATAGTCAATCTTGCGCTCTTCTACATGCGTAATTGGAGTGTTTTTGGCACTTGAAGTATCACTAACACTCTCACATTGAATCTTGCTAACTTCAACTTCACAATCACTCGTAATTTCGCTCAACATGCTCACATCACAGTTAACAACATCTTGCTCACTGGCCGCATGCACATTGATAAGTGGTACGAAATGATTGGGTGAAAATGATACTTTGTGTGATAAAGAACGCATTTGAGTCCACATAATTGTAATAGTAGGTGACTCAGACATTTTAACACCCCTACCTATAACTTTCCTTGAGTGAGGTTCTGAAACAAATTCAGCGGACAGTTGGGGTGGATAGTATGATCTTATTGGCTGACGTAAAGCAGCACTCAGGGCAAAAATGTGAGTCATAGAAGAAAATGCATATAGTGAAACAGCGTCTTGTAACGATTCTGAATATGGTGAACAAACAATTCTATTGTCATTTACTAGATCAACAAATTTTCTATGATCAGGATCATAATAATACTTATTTTGCAGGATCTCGATCGCAGTCAACAATCGAAAGTGGACATGATGTGATTCTGATCCCGTCATAGCCCGAGATACAGCACGGTACATACAGTTGCCATCACCAACAGTTTTAGCCGGGAATACTGCGGACAGAATTGCTGGGTGAAACTGTTTAAGTATGTCTCTGGAAACCTCATCTACAGTTTGATCGGATGGGTTAGTCTGCTTCGGGATTTTCACGCCGTACGTCTCTAGCAGGAGGGATTCTGATGAAACTGTCATCTTTAAGTCCTTGGGGTCGGAGTGAAGAGCACTGGAAATCCTGAAAGTCATATATGGCATAACTAAAATTAAAAAGATCTTTCTATTTGATTTATTACTTTATATAAAGATAGGACTTTCCTGTAAATTACACAGTTTAAATCAATCACGTTTCAAAGATATTAGATATATAAAACAATAACCGATTTATTTACCGACTTCGCATTTAATTTACAGACGTGTTCATCATCATAATTATATTAATTATCCCAAGCAGTATTTCATATTAAGTGAGCAGAGTTGTAGTTAAAAGATATTAAATTAAAATAATTACGGCGCATCTGAGTAGTGGTCATACACAGTAAATGGGGTTTAATGTGTAATTATCCCCAAGCTTTAATGCATACAAATATAAGAAAATTTTCAGCTCGGTTTTATAGTTCCACGCATAGTCATGGCTAAGGTAGCATTGTTGGGTTCCAGTTACATCACCAGACTTGAAAAATTTTGTAAAGGTGATTTGAAAATTCCCGGTGTCTCAAATTTTTTTGGAGTTCCTGGATTGCGTGCGAACAATGTTCCACGTACAAAGATTGACGAAGTCATACAATTTAAACCAGACATTGTAATTATTTTAGTGGGTGGTAATGACATAAGTGACGATTCGTCTCCTAGTGAAGTATTTGGACACATAGCAAATCTTGTTGATGCGTTTAAGGAAGATGTGCGCTTCATTTATGTTTGTGAAGTTCTGCCGAGAGGAAGATTCAAATATTCCAAGGACCTGACCAGGAGTCGATACCAAGCCCAACTTAAGAAAATTAACAAGAAATTGAAGTGTCTGACATCTGCATCCATAATATCAACAAAAACGATCAAGTACGATCGGGATTATAGCGACGACTTAGTGCACCTTAACGAAAGTGGGCAAAGAAAACTTTTTTACTGCATGAGAAGAACAGTTTTGGCAACAAGATTTGCTTAGACACTTTTGTGATGATAATCAAGATGTTCTGTTGACATTTTAATAATGATTTAAATTGTTATGTACTTATCTTTTAAGCCAAATGTTGATTACAAATAAAACGAATAAACCACCATTTCGTCCTTTAACTATCGCTTTTTGAGAAGCACCAGATGCGGATCAAGAACAGTTACACGTAATGTAAATTAAACTGTTAAAAATAATTCTTTGAATTATTCGAAAAAAGACATATTATACGAATGTTTTTTAAATAAAAAGGGCTCACCAAAAGAAATAAAAACTTACCTTTCCAGTGCTTTTGAAAAGTCGTACTCGTTGTCTGTAAAACAGCAGTCTCGGCAAAGGAAGCTGAGAAGGGGCTGCGACCACATTTTAAGTTGAGATGAACTCATTGGTACACAATGTACGTGTACCCATCTGTTACAATTACAACATTGTATAGTGTTATTTCGGCAGCGTTTTTTACACTGAACACAAGGGTAGCAACCAGCCATGTTGAGTACAGAAAGCGATTTGATTTTTTTCTAACTCAAAACTGAAATTTCAAACGTCATCGGAATTCATAACTCAATTTATATTTTGCCAAGACACTGAAAATATTCATATATATACTAGTGAAGCGACCCGAAATGACCAATAAACAGAATACACATGTATGACATGTGTCAGTAGGTTCGAAATATATTCCGGTTTCTGAGAGCGAAATACTACTACCCGGTGTAAATTAAATTACATTAAAAAAGCATAACCATGTAGCTCTATTTTGTAGAAATTAATTTCTTTTTTTTTAATGTGACATATTTTTATTTGGATTCATTATTTTAATCTTTTGACGTAATTAATATTTTTTCAGCGTAACTTACATTAGGTTTATATAAAATGCGACACACACCTGGATGAATACAGAACTACACAAATGGCCAATTAACGAGGATGACACGTACATGACAATAGACATGACGCCAAATTTTTGAATGTATAATGGTACAGATAATTATAGTTAACAGTAGTGGATGCAGCAGGGGAGACCAAACCCCTGGAGTTTTCAGAGTTATAAAATTTAATACAGCAAATAAATGAAGTTACGATTTGCTTATAGCATATTAAACTTTAAAGTTTAAAATAATTAGGCCTGTAAATTGACATCATTCAGAAAATAATTTTGTTAACATGAAAACAAAATTACGTTACTGTCATTTAAAAAAATATATATTTATACATGTATATAAAAAATATATATAAATGTACGATTTTCCTTGGATCGGATTAAAATATCGGTAGCTTATTGTGCACGTACGAGTCTCACTTTGATAAAATAGTTTTACAGTTTACATATATATATATATATAAATATATTTTTGAATCTATGAAAATACTTAGCATCAGTATATAGCCTACCGATCTTCTTTCTCTGAACATAATTGAAAACATTGACAACGAATTAAAAAGTGATATAAAAGATTGTTGATTTAAAAAAATTAAGTAATAAATCTTCGATAGTAATATAACATTTGATACAATAATGTATAATTTTGGAGAAATATTACACAAAGAAAGATCAATTACAGATAACAAGAGTTATCTTTCTTGGATAAACACAAACTATTAAACTATTTGAAAAAACGACAGTTGTAAATATATTTTTTAATATCAAAGAATAAAATATATATACTAAACTCACTACCTTTCATATTAAACAAAGTATTACAGTTTTGAAGGGGCATTTCGGTAGTTTCAAGGGCATTTCGGTAATTTCTTGGGCATTTCGGTAAATCAGGGGCATTTCGGTAATTCGAGGTACCGATTTTAGCTACGTAGCTAAATGTACTGATTGTACTGGACCTGACTGTGTATAATAAGCTCTCTTAGCACTTGCATGTACATTGTATGTATGACCTATTGTGAGTTGAACATAAAACATGTAACATAAATTAATCATTTATTATTCTTCTTCATTCTAGAGAATCGTACCCAATTTTGCCTGCCCTCATCAGTCATCACAATATAAAGGATTTTACATTTAGAAGTAGGTATGATTAGATTATTTTTCTTTGTGTGTTTATGTGTGTATCATTAAAATACATATAAATCATTATCTAAGTTGAGATGAAGTGTCTGCAGATTTTATGAATAAGTGATTTTCTTCTTTTTAAAATGTTGACAGTAAAACTGAAATTAATATATAATTGTTCTGGTCATCATGGTCATGTTATATGTGTTTTCTTTTTTTTTTTATATATTCAAATTTTGAGCAAAAATGAAAAGAAATTAACAAACAACATACTTAATAGATTAATACAAGCAGAAAATAGAGAGGAAAAAAAACATCCAAACATGTACTCATACTAGTTAGCAAGTCGATGAGATGAAATGAATTATAATCTACAAGTAAATTATGTAAGTTATGATTGTTTAATTAAGATATGAGTTACGACTATGAAGTTGCAGTATAAGATTTGATTTTGTTTGATTTCTTTAAAATTAATGCATTAATCTGGGAGAGAAAAAGGTGAAATTAATTAAAGACAATTGTACTTGAAATGAGAAAGATAATCACAATCAAATACAGTTTTAATGTATAATGTATATGACAAAATTTACAATCTACATGCATATAATGGTGTGTGTTTTTTTCTTCAGGACAATCCTGCAAATTTGCAGCTGTAGAAATTGCACTTCATCTCATCTGCTGCTGGAATAAATAATGAGAGATTTTCAAACCAGTGTCCAAGAGCCCCCTAGAGTCTGAAATGAAGGTGTTCTTTACTAAGGAGATCAGTGTGTGATGTATTTGTTTTCTGTGCATTGATGACTTTTGTGAAATTGTTCGGTTACTTTATGACCATCTCTCTGACAACTACTTTGACATTTGAAATTCAATTTGAGCAACAGACAAGTAGACCAAATAATATGTATGTAAAACATTATACAATTGTAATAAGACATTGATAAACTTCAATTTAAACAAACTAGATGTACATGTATCTTTGAGCATGGCATTGAAATACATGTATACTTTACATGAACACTTTTAATGAATTTGTCTCTTGATAATGAACATTCAATTGTTATACATTGTAAATATAAATTGTAGATAATATGTATTTGGTCCAATATATATACATTGTAATTATATTTATATTCACTGAAAACAGGAATTACCCTGAATAAATATTGTGAACTTGGTCAATTATTTTTATTCCTCATTTAGACACTGAATAACATTCAAGATCAAATGTCAAGGTCAAAAACAAGATTTACTTAAATTTGGGTTATAAATACTGTAACAACTGTGGACTCTTATGCATGTTTTATAAGATATAAGGAATATGTGTGAGTTGACTACAAAAATTGTTGCTGTCACCCTGTCTGACTATGAAGATTTAGGAAAATGTTTTCTGTTACAATGTAAACATAAATTGATTAAATTCTCACACATAAATATTTTTTTTTTTTAATTAAGATACACTTGTACGGCACTGAACTGACCATAAATTGAGAACAAACTGAAGCGAAATAAGAAATTTTAACATTTTGAATATCTTGATTTTTATTTAGCAAACATGATGAAAATGTTGCATGTTTGTAAAATATTCACATACAAACAAATGATGAACTGAATATTTCAAACAAGAATAATAATAATAAATATAAAACAAATTTTTATCATACATTTAAAATTGAATATAATAAGACAATTTAACTTATTTAATAAATGAAAGTCAACATATTCTAGATCTAAATTTTGACTTGTCTGTTCTCGGTTTATGGTCTTGTCATATCTTGAAGTTCTTATTTAGATTTACGTCAAAAGTAAAATCTAATATACAGTTGATATACTCAGTAGGTGCAGTTAGATCTATATGTTATTTTCATGATGCCCAGTTAAGGGAAAAGTAAAGTTTTGCATAAATTTTATATGAACAGATGAAACATACACTTGTTAAAACATCAAACAAATCCTACTTTTTTCATTATTTAGTATGTGTAGACATGATAGGGAAATTGTTTCTTCAATGGGTACGGTTATCATTCAGTGTACCTACCTCGCATGAAAGATTTGGTATTCGTGGTCTGATTCTTATAAAGAGTTTAAATTTTGTTCCTCTTGTCTACTTTGTCATAACATTAGAAAAGTATCTGCAGTCTTTATTGTTTCCCCCTTTTTCTCTCTCTAATTTTAACTCCATTTACTTTTCATAGAGAACAAATTAGAAAAGAAATCACAAATACCTTGACGTCTCCCGATCATTGTTTTAGTTGTAAAATTAAACACAAATAAAGTTTAATTATATTTTTTTCTTCAATTTTTCTGAAGTTCCAATTTCTTCACATGTTCACTAGATCAATACTTGCCTACGTTTTATTACAATCCTTTTGTTTACATTTTAACTGGTTACTCGCAAATTAATCCGTGAGAGGTGTCGGAAATTAATGGATGTCGATCTCAATTATTTTTTCTCCATGAAAATTTATAACATTTAAATTGATAACATAACTGTAACTGATTTTTATTTGATGGTCATTTTATATTTTTTTTTCGTTTTGTCAAATTAACTCTTTAATATTAAAAAAAAGTGAGAGCAGCAGGATAGGATAAGATAGGATTAGACTGAAATCACAGGATAGGATTGTGGATGCAGGATTCATGATAGGATAGGATAGGATTGTCAACTTGTAGGATAGCAGCACTGTATTGAATTGAATATGCATGTCACAGAGGACGTCTGATTGTATTTCCTGTCGAGTATCGTCTCTTTTGTCAACTTCCGGCTAAACCGGAAGTAACTATAAATGACGTATTTGTGCAGATATCAACATAAAAGCAAATGATTGAATTTAACCAAGACTTTTGACCCAATTTTCTGTCGATTGGGGTCACTTCCGGTCATACCGGAAGTAGTCTTGATTTGCTTTATTTAAAGAAAATCAGCATAAAAATCATAAAAAAACTAAATACAGATCGACATAATTTTTGGTCTGGAGGCCTTCTTTTTAACGAATACTTTACTTTCATTTATCCATCTTACAAGCAGTGCTTCTGAAAATCGGACGGAAGACCTACTCGTTGCTTTGCAACGAGCTTTGCTCTAGTTAAGGTCTTCCGTCTTCACGGAAGACCTTATAGTGATTCTACTGTTTCTTATTATTATTCTTATTTTTTAGACAAATTTTGTGCACGCAATATCTCGAGAACTATTCAGTGGTTTTTCATCAATCTTTCAGGGATAATGCGCTTTAAAATGCCATTGTTACATTTGAAAGAATTTCGGAGAAATTCGCTTCCGGTTCCAAGTTATGGACATTTTTCTGATTTTGAAATGACATTTTATCCGCGCGAGATCTAAAGAACGGCTAAAGATATGAACTGGAGACTTGTTGGAGAGCATAGAACATGACTTCTAGATATGCGGGTTTGCCTTTTCGTGCGTTGTGAGTACTTCCGGTCGCTACCGGAAGCGAATTTAAAAAGTCAATTTTTTCAACTTTTACGTTTTTCAATATTTTTCTTTGATTTTAATAGGGTTAATAGAGACTCTTATTGTAATGCTTAACATATAATTTGTTTTTAAAATT